ATTTATAACTTTGATACTTTGGTATTTACTTTTCTAGTAAGAGTGCAGTTTTTTGAAGCTCCAACGGAAGTAGTGGGTACTGAGGGGGGTAGGGTGGTGATGGAATGTCCAGCTGAAGGCTATCCACTGAACATTACATGGTTGAGGAGGTTGAGCAATGGAACTCAAGTCGTTTTTAACGATGCAAGTGAGTGGTGAAACTGAAAGCCAGTGTTTTAGTGCTTATGGCTTGTTTTCCATACTGATTGTCTTATATTATCTTAGTGAACATTACAATGGCTGAACGGTACGTAGTTTCCAGGCCCTGCTCATACTGTCGATATAAACTGACCATCAGCAACGTTCAATCCCATGATGCTGGGCGGTATGTGTGTAAAGCAAACGAAGGCGGACAACATCATTTTGATCTGTTARTGTCAGGTAATCCATTCTTTGTCTACTTCATTAATTTAATAGTCATTATAATACTATTTCATATATTTATGGACACGATAAAGCCTAGTGCCTGTATATAACGATTAATTGTTATAAATMAGTATTTTTTGCTCGTTAAAAACATCTATTTTTATTTTCTTTGGAATCATCAGGTTGTGTTGGTGTCATGGTGAACTTCCACACTGTTCTTGTTGGTGTACTGGCTGGGGCTCATGTCGATCTTGTAGACTCACATGACTTAAATTTGTAAAGCAATACAGTTAATCAGTAGTCATGCAACAATGAATGTAGACCACACTGTTATATGAAGAAACCAAAATGTCAAAGTTTTGATTTCACTTGGACTATTTTGACGACGCCTGTTAAGTATTGACCTGTATGTCAACCTTTTCAGTAGTGTGTGACTAGCAGTTACTAGTTAATCTACAAGTCTTGTTAAAAGTAGCTAGTGATCATGTTGTTAGTAGGTCAGTGAATGATCCAATATCATTAATAAAACTATACTCGAGACTATATCATGAGTCATCTTGTGGTCTTTGCTTTCACATCACATGCAAATCACCTGTTGAGACAAGATTCCGGGGTCGGTGCGATACTACTGAAATATAGCCCGCCAAGTAACGCTTGCTCACCTGAGAAGGGATGGTTTTCAAAAGACTAGTATTACGAGCTAAAAGATCAATTAAGCTAAGATCTTTTCCCATTTTATTGTTTTGTTGGAGTACACAAATGAAAACTCAAACAT